TAAAAATCAACCATTCACTATAATAAGTTTCTATATTAAAAAATATTTTGTTAAAATAATTTACAAGAATTGAAATTTCTTTTTTTCCAAAATTTTCAAATTCTTCTGATTCAATTAATAGCTATTCTTTTAAATTAAAAATTTTCATTGATGTAAAAAGTGGATCAACAATAAATCTTTGTTAAATTTCTTTAACTAAAGTTGTTATATAATTGTAAATATCCATAAGTAAATTATTATAATCAGATGATAAATAATTAAGCTTATGTGAATAATAATAAATCATTTGATTAGTAAAAGGATTGGTTTTGTTAATAAAATTTTGTAAATGTTTACCAAGAAATTGAGAATTATTTGAATTAAAATAAGTAATTGAAATTTTTTTAATAATATTTTGAATTATTAAATCAATTTCATAAAATTGAAGATTTTGTTTTTAAAAATATATGTTTGAATAAGATAAAAATTCAGAAATATTATAAAAAAAATGTCAAAAGGCTAATGTATACCAATTACATAATTTTTGATATAGGTTTTGAGCAATAGAAGAATTATTATTAGAAAGTGTTTCAAAAAGTGTAGATAAAGTGATACAAAAATTTTTTAATGTTTGAAACCAACTTAACCAATGAATTTCATAAAATTTTTTTAATTTAAGTTAAGAAATTTCAAATAATTCTGGGTATTAATGGAAATTTTGAATTCTTGAATTTGAATTTTTAAAAAAATTATATGTATTTTTCATAATAGTTTTAGCTTGTTCATAAAATGCTATTTGTTTTTAAGCATTTTTACAAGCTAATGCTAATTTATGAGCCACACAATGATTAATAATAAAATAAGGATATTGTTAATTTAATTTTGTTGCAACACCTTCATGTTTTCCAAGTATAACTGAAGCACCATCAGAAACAAAAGTATGTAATTTATGTAGAAGATTTATTAATTTTTTAAAATATATAAAATATATAATTAGTTTTTAATATTTTAAAATATCATTATTAAAAATAAATATCTTTTTGATTAAAGAGTTGGATTATTTTATTTGTAATAGTTGTGGCATCACCTTTGATTAATAAATAAGTTTTAAAAATCTTGTTTTAATATAACTATCTTGAGTAATATAACAAATATAAACAATTAAATGTTTATCTGTTGTTATATCAATGCTTTTATAAATTATTATTCCAAATACAGAAGTAAGATTAATCTCATTTCATATTTGATTTTCCAAAGTTTGAGAAATTGCTGTTAAAAATTCATAACCAGCAATAGGATTCTGATAACTTGTGAATTTGTCAATTAAATTGGATAAATTTAAATGTTGAATAAGATGTATAAAGAAAGGAAAATCATTTAAAGGTAAATTGTTTTTTGCTAAATAGTAAATAATTTTGAGGTTTTTTATAATGTAATTGGAAGAAATATTTAAAGTGGATTTTTTAATAGATATTTTATCACATGGATTTATTGTATCCATATGATCTTTAGAAGTTTCATGTTTAATTAATACAGAATGATGTGTAATGCTTTTTGAACCAGTTGTTGTAAATTTGGTTTTCTTATTATGAGAAATACAATATTTACTGAATAGAGTCATAGTTTCATAATTATAAATTAACCATGGAAATTCATTTAACCATTTAAGAATAGTTTTTGGTATAAAATTATCAGTTGTAACAAATTGAAAAGAAGACATAATAAAGTATAAATTTTGAAAGAGAAAATTGATGTTTTTTTATATTTTTTAGAATAATTATTACATTAATAATTATAAAATCTTATTTAGGTACATATATAATATTTCTAATTATTTAATCGCGTAATAACATATATATATATGCTATCGCGGCGTTATAATTATTAAAATTGCACATTATTACAGTCGTGTATGCCACATAACAGCAAAATTATAATCGTAAGTATATATATATCTATCACTATTATTACTTATCTCGTGATTTTTAACCAAATTAATCAATTTCCGCCAATTTATTTTTAGGTGCAGTTCTAAAATTATTTATTATACTAACTAAATTAATCGATTTTCATATCCATTTTACAGTAGAATTTATGCCCTAGTGTACAGTATCTGATTAAACAAACTACTGTATTGTAACACGTGTCAGAAATTTCCCAGACTAGAAAAATCAATTGCGTAACACAGATGTTTGATCAATCTGTACTAAGGAATAAATTTGATTAGAAATAGTTTAAAAGGGCAGTATATTTATGTTATTTTTTCTTTTTTTACTTGTGATTTCGTTTTCACAGTGATAATACTTTACTGCGATTAACCGAACACCTATCAACATGGCACATTTAATATCAAGAATTGAAGCATTTTTATTAAAAGAATCTCTAGACTTTCTTTGCGGTGCATCTGCAGTTTACCTGATGATTAAAAACAATATTTTACCTTTTCTTGAGTATGTAAGAAAGATTGTAGATTGTGCAGTAAACTCGTCCCTATTGAAAATAAAAGAAATTGATTGAAAAATTAGAATTTTGGAATTATCAACTCAAGTTAGTATAAATTATGACTCATACCCAAGTCTTTATTATTTAATAATGATTCTACAGACCCCTACCAAAAGTTTACGTATATCGATATTCGTTGCTAAATCATTGAATTACAGAATTATATAATGCAACTAGTTAGCTAATTTTTTATGCAAAGCATCAATATAATAATAACAAATAGATATAACTTGTTATATATACTGTAAATTATTGTTACAATAAAAAAATTTTTTAATTTAAAAAATATGAAAAAAAAGAATTGACTATTGTACAACATGAAACAATAATTTATTGTTTTCAACATGAAGATTCATATTGTAAAATTTCATAAACTGTTAAATGTAATGTAATGATAGTTTTTGATACTTTAAGATGATATATTGATACTGATTTTTTTAAATTAAAATCACATTCTGGACAGTCACATTTGATTAATACTACTTAATACAACAATCTTAAACAACTTATAATTAATAATAAGGAAAATCAATAATTATATCTTGGTGAAATAAAAAATCTTTGGAAAGAAAAAACTAATTAAGATATTTCAATCCCAACTATTTATTATACACTTCATTCAGTTAGTTTATATAATTATGTTGCATGATACAAGCCACTTGTTTCTGAAGTAAATAAAAAAGTATGTTTTAAATAAGGTCTTGAATATAAAAACTAAACAAAAAATAATTGGACAAAAGTTTTGTAAAGTGATAAATCAACTTTTACACAATTTAAACAAAATCAAATCAATAGAGTATAATAAAAAATAAATAATAAATGTAATGTATGCATTATAATTACTTTTTACAACAAGAATTAGGTTCAATTATATCATTATATAAATCAGTAACTAAAGTTATGCATATTAAAACTTTATATAATCATGCTATATCTACAATAATACATATAATAGCTTATATAAATAACTAATTATTGATCAATTTTTTAAATTTTATTGATATTTTGAAATTAGAACTAATATTTTTAAAAAATGATTTAATATTAACTAATAAAAATTATATAGATATATATATATAATATATATAATTTTTATATTTTTCAATAAAATTAACTATTAAAAAATAAACATTTGTTGTTTAAATATTAATTAATTAAAAAAATCTATTGTTTTTATTATTTTTGCAAATCACAAATGATTATAAAATAAATAATATTTTAAAATTATTAAAACAATATATGTATAATAATTAATTTATATTTGCCATATAATTTTTTATTATATAAATATTTTAAATTATTTTTTTTGATTTAAACAATGCTCCAATTAATTTTTTTTAAAAAACAAAAATTATTATTCTTTTTAAAAAAGATTATACTTTATAACAAATTGTTGCATATGAAAATATTATATAATTTATTGTTATTAATACAAGTAAAAGGATGCTATTAACTAAAAATCTATATAATAGATTAAGACCTGAATGATCAAAACTTTTAACTGAACAATATAAAGAAAAATTGTTAATTATATACTGTATTTACTAATAAATATTTTATAGCAATTAATATTCAAAAAATATTAAAAATAGTTGATTAAATTGATATTTCAGCAGAAATAATTAGGCATATATAAAAAAAAATGCAAATAATCTTTTTTTTCAAAAAAATATAATATTTGTTAGAACTTATAAAGACTGAATAGTTAATGACTAGAAAAATAATTTGAATTGATAAAAGTAAATTTATATTATATAGTTTAAATAGAAAACAATATTATTGAAAAAAACCCAATAAACTATTAAGTAAAAAATACATTAAGCCAATACTTAAATTAAATAGTAATAATATTATAGTTTAAGATAGTAATTTTAGTTGATAAAAATTTTTCTAATCAATTAGTTGTTTTTAATATAATTAATTAATTGTAACTAAAAATTCTGAATTTTGATTAATTAATTTTAAACTTTTCAACTAATGATTTGTAATACTAATTTAAAGTTGGTTTATAGTGTCACGGGTCAGGGTCTATTAGCAGTAACAGCAAAATTCTAGACTTCGCAACATGTCAACAGGGGTATCTGTTATAACAGGAGGGATTAAAGGCAGAAAGAGACATAGATTTGAAAAGTTTGTGTGATTTGGGGGGATTTTATTGAACAGAACAGTACGATAAGTAGGTTGATTTTAATACTTTTTTATTAACTAATTTTTTCACTCTTCTTCTACTATATTTCCTTACATCATTTTTATACTTTTTCTTATGGCAAAGAAAATAAAAAAAATAAAAGAAATAAAAGAAATAAAAGAAATAAAAGAAATAACAGAAATAAAAGAAATAACAAAAATAAAAGAAATAAAGAAGTTGAGGGTTGATTATCCGTTTTGGCAATATCTATAATGCGCGATCATTGTTTTCTTAATTTCTAAGTCATATCATTGATCGAAATTTCCCTGTAACAGTTTTTCCCTTTCTTAATTGCAAGTTTCATGAGCAAACCCTTTTAATTGACTAAAATTCAGTACTCTTGCACACTTAATCGCCTAATCTTATTGAAGGTAATGTATTCGGTCCAATAGATCTGCTCTATTTCCTATTGTTAGAATAGATAGTAGATCCACAAACTTCCCAGGCAATAATGTAAGGTAAGACAATTCCGCAGTCCCATTCCCTTTACCAGCTAACCCAAATAATACGCCATTACTAACGTTTCAGTCTGCTGACCCAGGTAAGTTGCCCTCTTTAAGCATGAAAAGGTTTTAACAACTTTTTTCTCATACATTTCCCAAGCATCATAGGGTGGTGATATAATATTCACATACGCAGGTTCCATTGTCAGTAAATCCATTATTATCCTGGCAACTTCTTCGGACATCCTTCTAGATTAGTTTCAAACCAGAGGGGGGAAATAAAACAAAGAAAGAGAAAAAAATCAAAGAATTGTGTGAAACCAAAAACCATCCTATTTATATTTGTAAAAAAAAAATAAAATCACTAAATAAAATAATCATTCGAATTGATCGAACCGATCGAAAACATCTTTTTTTTTTCATTTCATTTTTTTTTATTCCTGTATGATGTTGACGTCTCTCTCGGCGAATCTGTTGCTTCTCCTAAGCACTTCTTGTGTAACGTCCAGTAAGTGTTTGGTTTCTCGACTTGAGATGTGTGAGTTGTTTAACCGAGTTCTACTAACGTTTTCCTTCTCTTTCCGTTGTTTGTTTCTCTTGACGAATCTTTACCACTTTTCCCTTTGTGATCTCAGCTGTTCTATCTCGCGACAAGTACTGGATTAGGTAAGTTAATTAGTTTTTACTTGGTTTGGCAACGATAAATACACATCCTAATTAAAAAGGTTTTAATTTAGGGAACGGTTTTTCTCTTATTCTTCGTACTGCGTACTACATGGCTCTTTCCTTTTTTCGGTTCCTCCTTTTTATCTTATTTCGTATACCCTTGCTAAGCTACAATTATGCCATGCGATCCCCTTAAGCTCCGATAGATTATTTGTAATCAATAAGCTTTCTTTTTAAGGTTATGGCTAATTTAAGCTTCCTAAAATTACATCATTACTTTTACATGTTGCTATAGACTATAGGTCTCAGATTATTGCAAATCAGGGTATGTGACATGCCAGAATATATTGTGTGGTCACGCCCCACATCAGTTCCCTGCCAACAATGGTAATTTCGTCTTCTTCGGTAAGTATCATTTCTCGTTCGTGATACAATTTCAACAGCTGATGCTTAACGAGTTATCGAAGCACGTTTTCTCCATTGTTCGGAGACGATATATCCCCTTTAGTTGTACTTTGTGGATAAAAAATGGTCCTTCCCACTTACTATCCAGTTTGTGGCTTCGGGAGTAAATAAGATAGGCACAATAAAGTAATACTTTGTCTTCTATCACGAAACTCTGGCTAGATTTGAGTCTTTAGTCATGTCGTGTCTTGTTTTGCTGTTGTGCTTGCTTCATCTGCGCGATAGCGTTATTTTGTTCTTGGGGAACAATGTTAATAAGGTCAAACAATCGTTTTAAAATAGTACCATCAAAAATGTTGTCATTTGGGGTTATTGGTATACGTACTTCCCTGCTGTATATCAAATAGAATGGTGTCACTCTAGTCATAGCCTGATGAGCTGTCCGGTATGCAAACAATACGGATGGTATCATCAGATCCCAATCTCTAACATCATTTATAGTTTTGGCCAATGATTCGCATAGTGTTCTGTTGAATCGCTTTACTAGTCCATTCGTCTGTGAGTGATATGCAGTAGAATATTACTTATGAAATTTATAGTCCATTCAATTTAGTTTTAGTTTTAGTCACAGTTGTTATTTTTTTCATTTATCTTATATTCAAAAAATCAAAAGATTTTGTAAAATGTTGTCAAGTAGGTAGGCATAACCGCTTCTCTGTTATTTAATATTTTAATATTGCTTTTGAAATTTTTTACAATATTAATTAGATAGTGATCAAGTAGGCAAGCTAGTATTTAACTTGTTATATGCAATATGCACCCAAAATATATTGTTTTTTTTTCAATATATACATTCAATATATGATAACAAATAAAGAATTGATGTTTATCTATTAAACAAAAATTCCTCCCCCCAAAAAAAATTCAAATTATTTCATTAAAAATAGGGAATTAACAATTCTTTATAAAGAATGAAATAATATACAGTATATATAATAAGCAAATATGAAAAATTTGCTAAAAGTAATCTAACAAATTTTAAGGTAAAAATTTACATACTATCTTTATTTTATTGTAAAAACCTCTGAAAAAATATCAATTAATTTAAAACTATTTAAATATTATAGAAATCAATAATTGTTTGGATATAACGATTTATAAAATTATTTTAATATTTTTCAGCATCAAAATTAAAAATTTTGAAATTACATTCATAAATTTATCATACTATTTCAACAATATGTAATTATGGAACCTTAAATGGATATACTTTGGAAATCTTTGAAAGTCTTTATAAAAGTTTTGTTAAACAATCATATTAATTAAGTAATAAAAAAAATATTGAAATTCAATTAATACAAACAATAAGTAATATATTTTATTTATTTTTAAAACTTTTGACTAATATATAAATTTTTGTATTAATAGATACAAAAAAATGCAATAATAAATAAAAATTTATTACAATCTAAAGAACATGCAAAAACTTTGCAAGTATACAAATTTTCAAACAAACTTTGAAATTTTAAATCAAAAAATTTAAGCAAATCAATTTGTAAAATTCTTCAGAATAATTAAAAAAAAAATGAAAAAATGAAAGGTAGTTTTGAAAATCTTGAAAAAAGTTTAAATATATATTTAGAATTATTAAATTTCTATAGATAATTTTTTATTAACAATATTTGGATCTGTAATTTTAGAAAATGGAGCAATAATGTATATAACAAATAAGTATTACAATAAATCATAGTTTAGTAATATAGCAATTGTAATAAATTCTGAAGAATTATTTGACTATACAACAGATAAGAGAATATGTTATGCACAGGTAATAATGGATAATTACTTATGAAATTGTAAAAATTGCTATATACTTATAAATATTTTTTATTAGGTTTTAATGATTTTGCAAGTTGATAGAGTACTTTACAAAAATTCATTAAAATTAGCATTAATACAATAGTATGATTTTTTTTTTTTTAATGTTAAGGTGAGACATGTCTCATTATCTTTATTAATGCGTAATTATTATTATTACATGGTTAA